GTCCCCGCTCCCCTCGGGCCGCCCCCCATCACCCCCCCCCGCTCCCCCGTTGGTCTCGCCCTGCCCGCTGACGCGGCGGCCGCGCGTGCGCGCGGGCGGTGCCGGTGCCGGTGTTGGGCCCCGCGTGTGGGGCGGCCCCGCGGCCCGGCCCGGCCCGGGGCTGTGTCCCGCCGTGCCCCGCCGTGTCCCTTCGCGTCCGCCCCGCTCCCCGCTCCCATCATGCTGGTGCCCGTGTTCACGCTGAAGCTGAACCACAAGATCCTGCCCCGCATGGTGGCGCTGGGCCGGTACGACGGGACGCACCCCTGCCTGGCGGCCGCCACGCAGGCGGGCAAGGTAACGGGGCCGGAGCGGCCGCGGGGCCGCGGCAGCCGCGCTGACCCCCCCCTCACACACCCCACCCCACCCCACCCCACCCCGGGGAGCCGGGCCGGGGGCGGGCGGCTCGTGCCCCTCGCCCCCCGCAGGGCCTCGCCTGCCCCAGGCGGCGGGGCTGTGTGCGGGGCGATCGCCAGCACTGACAGCCGGTGACCCGGCGGGGCACCGGCACTGTGGGCAGGCTGGGGAGTCACCTGCCCAGAGGTGCTCAAAAGCCCTCGGGACACGATCCAGAGCAGCACGCTCTGGGGACCCTGTTGGACCAGGGGACTCCAGTGGTCACCTCCAGCGCGACCCATTCAAGTTGCCCCGAACCCAAGTTGCCAAGGAAACTTTCACATTTTCCAGCAGTCTTTTTTTTTTTTATTATTTTTTTTCCCAAGCTGTGGGTTTTGTCATACAGTTCTCAGTCACAGCAGTGAGCCTTGGCGCTGGTACAGACCAGGCACGGTGCTGATAAGGGCAGCGGTGCTGAGGGTTCTGTGGGTGATGCACAGACTGCACCCCGTGCGCCCTGTTTGAGTCTGAAATGTAAACCATACGGGGTTAGCTACGATCTGAGTAACAAACAAAACATAGGTTGAAGCATCAACCCGCAGAGGCACTTAGGTGGGTGTAAATACAAGTAGGGTTCATCTGCGATGCTTCCCAGCATTATTTTGGAGCCTTTAGGAGCAGCACAGAACGTGGGCTCGGCCAAGGCGCAGACTGCACAGCCATAAAGCAGAAGCTGTCGAGCATAATACCCTGAGATCCTCTGACTTGGCTCCAGATAATTACAGTGACTGAATATTGGTCAGTGAGAATAAAACCTTATTTATCACAGGCTCCTTTTTAAATTAACCGTGCTCACCCACAGATGGAGGTTACAGATAGGTACCAGGTAAATTGTCCTAAATATTTGGGCTGTTTTGCAAACGCTGTTACCAGCCGGATGTAATTTGTTCAGTTTGTTGTTGTTCCCTTTGGTTTGGGGTTTTTTTTTGCCTTACTCTGAAGACTCATCAATTGTCATTTTCAGAAACAAACAAAACAATGGTGTTGCAACTCCACTGGCCAGAGCAGTTTTTCCTGCCATTTCCCTTTTTCTGGTCAAGGTTAAAGAATAACTGTGAGAAATACTATTGTCAGCAAAACCCCCAGTCTTTTGTCCTCATGTAGGTTAAGTGAATGCCCTTCTTCCCCATCGCATTTATTATCCAAACAATAGTCTTTGCTGTTTGGATACGTGCTTTGTGTTAATATTTACATCCTTGTTGCTACAGGTTTTTATTCACAGTCCTCATGCCCGAGGGCAGAGGACAAGCACAAACCGACTGGTGCAGAGTAACCAAGATTCGGACATTTCTCTTCTCAACATTAATCAAGGGATCACCTGTCTGGCTTCGGGAGTGCTGAACCCTCAGCTGGGTTATGATTGCCTTCTGGTTGGAACACAGACTAATTTATTGGCTTATGATGTGTATAACAACTCAGATTTGTTCTACAGAGAGGCAAGTTAATTTAACTGTCTGCTTTTTTTAGTAACTCCATTGTTTTCTGTTTCTTTCCATTCCAGAGATCGCAGTTTCTACATTACATTGTCAATTAATTGTGCTTCTGTTCTGTGTAGTAATTCTGCTGCTGTATTCAGAACACTCTGTAGAATATCTGCGATATTTCAAAATAAAGATGTGGATGTGATGTATGTCTGTGTGTGTGAGAGCACATTTTCATAATATGTCACACGTCACCTAGCAAGACAAAATTAAAAAAAATTAATAGGCATTCAGAGCTCAGCTACGACGACAGTGATAACGCCGGGAGCTCTCTCCTTGATTTGTGTACTCTGATGTCTTACTGTCTTCTTTTTCCTTTGTTGTTTCTCTGTAGGTTTCAGATGGAGCCAATGCAATAGTTCTTGGAAAGCTTGGAGATATTTCCCCTCCACTCGCTATTATTGGTGGGAACTGTGCCCTGCAGGGCTTTGATCATGAAGGCAATGACCGTTTCTGGACGGTGAGGCTGTGCAGAGTGGTTTTGGTGTTATTTGAAGATGCTTCCAATGGCACTAATTCATCTTGGGTGTTTTCATGCGTGAATATTAATTTGGTTGTTGATCTTCCTTAATTTATCTTAGAATGTATTTTGGTTGTGTATTCAGTGCACTCAGATGTTGCTTGTGCACGGACTGTCAACTGCTCTGTTGCAGTTGAGATAATGAAAACAATTCAGCTTCTGACAGCTGTCAGCAGCACTGAGGACTGCCTTTCTGTTTTTAGGTTACTGGAGACAACGTTCGTTCCTTGGCACTGTTTGACTTCGATGGTGATGGCAAAACTGAGGTTTGTAACTGTTCACACGTGAATTCAGCGGGTCTTGTAGTGAAATGACAGTAATAAAGAAACTTGGGTTATCAGGTATTTCTGACTTATGTTAGCAGTTGAAGTGATCCTTGCGTGGGAGTTGGGCCTTTTCCTCACCCTGGTCTGGCAATGACATTTCTTGAACATGGTTAATAAATTCTTTCCTGAATTTTGGGGAAACAACTCGCAAGCACCTTAGATGTAGAAGTGAGCTCTTAAGAAGCTGTCCTGTGAAAAGTTTCACTTACACTTGGTAAAATCAAGAAATCTGCCCTCCGATCCAGCCCTCCTG